ACTATAACGTTAATATAAACTAATAATTTTATTTACGCCTAAAATACGCATCGTGCATCTTTGGTACATTTATGTAGAACGTGAATGCACTGAATTCAATGACAGAAAGCTGCTTTCGTTTAAGCAATTGAATCAAATAAAAAATATATGTACTTGTAAATCTTCGTTTGGTTAAACTTTTTTTCAAATGGTAGTCTAAGTGATTGACAAATTGTCAGATTACAATAATACATAGTCATTAGAAATATCTCGAGAAAGTACGTCCTGTTGTAGCACCACTAGTTACAGTACCTAAAACATTTTTTTCTAACTATATAACATTAATCACTTCTGTCGCAGAACACGCTTAATATGACAAACACTACGTAGTGCCCACGCCAGTGAAAACGGAAACCTCTCAAAATCGAATATATTTGCTGACACTGACACGTAAGTTGCCTTCCTGGCTATGGAGAGTCTCAAGTAAAATCAAATGTTTTGATAGCGCGAATAAAAGCCCGCACTCGAAATGAGAGCGCCAATAGCTACTTGGCTGTCCGGAAGAGCCAAGAAATTTATTTGCGAAGAAATGCAGTTCGCCCTGAAGAAGGTCGGAGAATGGCGGCCGAAATGTTGGTAACTGTGCCTAGGACGCGGCGTCTAATGGACAGCCGAAGTACCTACAAACTTCGACAGCGGAAGCTATAGTACGATTTATTTAGTCGCGCACTCGACGTAAAACAGCTGTTGCGGTTTCATCCAATCGGGAAATATCGCTACAGTGACGTCACTATGTGGTCGTTCAAGCTCCCTGAAACCGCGAACAGCTGATTTACGTCAGGCGCACGGTTAAATAAATCGTAGCACACGCTCTCAGGGCCCTTGCCACTTGCCTGACTTCGTAGAGCAGCTGGCGGCGGTTGGTGTCGTAGAGCGGCCGGACCACGCGCTCCATGAGCCACTGCTCGCTGCACGAGCAGTCCAGGGGATTCCCCTGCAGGTCGATGACGCGCAGCTCCTCCCAGGGCAGCGCCTTCTCGGGCAGCTTCGTCAGCGCGCAGCCGCTAACGTCCAGCTGCGCACGAGCGAACGCATTACGCCATTTACATCACGCCGAATTGGGTAATTAAGAAATTGAGATTTATGTCGTGTGAAACATTTAGAGTTCAATTCTTTGAAGATTGTTGAGACGCTGGTTCGAGATGATTGTGCAGCTCGGGTCCTTCCCAGTTGGACCTTTTTGTAAATGAAACACAGAGTAGGAAATTGCATGGAGTTATTCGCGTATATACATGTGGCATTTACCCCTGATGGTTAGGCAACCCCGTATACTCTGATGTTCGACTGGTACATGACATACCCTTTACTTCGACAGAAAGTGTCCTGCCAAAATATTTGTGGTTTCGGATACACCGACTGTCGGGTCATAAAATCACTGGTAAGTACCACATTCTTAAATGCATACAATTTTGTTATTCAAATTGTTGTATGTTTTATGAAATTTAACGTTATATGAAATTTAATACTATACTTTCATTGGCCAAAAGCGATCATTTTCGATTCCTCCATATGCCGTACTCGCCAACATTTTCGTATTCGAGTTGATATTTATTGGGACAACCGGGGAGAAGAAATTAAGAAAGGAACTATTATATGCAGATCTTGAAAACTCAAGGGCTGAGTTTTCTACACTAATTTTGTTTTGAGAAACAGTTCATCAACGTGTGATAGTCCCGTGTAAATTAATTAATCCTCCAGCCTGGAAATAAAATGGGAATCGAGTTGCTATGAGATTATCGCACGATTTCTAGTTGAAATGTTCAACTAAAAAAACGCAAGATGACTACGTGAGAAGTGACCAGTGAGAAAAATGATTATTGTCCCAATTTCACACTTTTTTAGACCACAACTGCCTTTAGATGTGGAATTCACTAACAGACAAACCTACTGTCTCTATCTTCAATATTTTAGTTGTAGGAAGGCGCTGAAAACTTCTTGACTTTTTGCAATTTATAAAATTTAGAGACTTCAACTAGAATGAGATCCGCACGATTTTTTGAAGTGCACTCTGCTCTACCCGAAAAAAATAATTTAATTCCAACATTTAGAACAATTTTTGAGAAATGCTGTTGACGCTCCGTGTAAAGTATCCCAGAAGTAGAAAAATCCGTTTCAAAATTCGCAGGGCCTAGAGTCCGGTTAGATCATTCCGGGAAAGCCAATTTTGGATAAAATCATCTGAACAGTTTAAGTACTATAGTATTGACCACAGACTATCAGGCCTATCAGGCAGACGTTTTTCCGTCAACCAATTTTTCGATTTCAGGATCCCAAAATTCCAGAGTTTATGTTGCAAAATCTCCACTTCCCCTTGCAGAATTTCAATAATTGTTATTTACTGCGTAAATAAAGTAAAGTAAAAACTATAAAGTAAAAACTAGCGCACTGATAGACCTAGCGCTTAGATGAGTTTCTCTAAGAACGGCCACTTTGACAGGACGGGAAACAAAAGAAAGTAATACAGGGCGATGATATTGCAAATGATAGTGATGCAGCCATTTACAAGTGAGCTTGAGAGTGAATGAACGCACTGACAAATCGAGTGCATGGTCGTAACATGCAGTTATATTGCATGTAGTGGCCAATCAGTAGCTGTCAGAGTGGTCCCCATTTATAGTAATCTCTCTAGCCTCATCCATTATTACCTTCTCGTTACAACGTCCGCAGTAGAGAGAGAGTTATGTAATGGTGCGAGAAAAATCGGCGAATTTCAGGCGGAAAAACTATCATTACGTGACTCAAGTATCTAAAAAATTGATAACTCCAGTTGCTAAAATTAGAAAGAATCCTCTAACACGTGATGCTGCCAGATTACATGTTTTGTGGGTCATTAATACCAAAAAATGGAATGATGGCACGAAGTGTCTGTCTGTCCGTCTGAACAACGCAAGCGGCTAAACCTTTCAACCGATTAAAAAAAAAAAAAATTCCCAATCTATCTGGCTGATTTCTCAGCCCCCTGAATTTGAAACCGAAATTTTAATTTTGGGGTGTATTTTACATGAAGCCCCTGGGACATTTTCAAAAATATGGCTCTATTGTTTTTGATTAAATTTTGTTGTTGGATAGTGTAAAGAACATTTAAGAGAATGGCGCAGGTCTCATGTACGTTGATAGCTCTTTTCGAAAATTACACAAATTCAAATTATTTTTGGCGTCTTCCTACAACTACAATTATAAAAATATCGATTTTTGTTACACAAGATAGATTTTGAAATAACGTCCTGTACAAAGTTTCGACAATTTGAGTAGTTTACGCGTAATTGTGCCTGAAAATACGGTCGGGAAAGCGCGTGCTGTTTCGGCAGGTTTTGTTTGGCCATGCTCGTTAATAGTTCTGATTTTACGAAAATTGCAAAAATTCAAATTGTTTTCGGCGTCTTCCCACAACTACAATTACGAAGATATCAATTTTTGTTACATTAAGATAGATTTTGAAATAAAATAATGTATAATGTTTCAACAATTCGATTACTTTACGTATACTTTCGCCTGAAAGAACGGGCGAGAAAGCACGTGCGGTTTAGCACTACTAGTTTTATTTGAACATGTTCGTTGATAGCTCTGATTTTTCGAAAATTACAAAAATTCCATTTTTTTTGGCGTCTTCCTACAACTACATTTATGAAGATATCTATTTCCCCCCTTAATTGAATACGTTACATAAAGATAGATTTTGAAATAAGGTCACGTACAATTTTTCGACTATTTGAGTACTTTACGCCTAATTTTGCGTGAAAGTACGGGCGAGAAAGCACGTAAAGATTTAGCACCACTAGGTTTGTTTGGATATGTTCGTTGATAGTTCTGATCTTACGAAAATTGCAAAAATTCAAATTTTTGCGGCGTCTTCCTACAACTATTATTATGAAGATACCTATCAACCACCTTAATAAAATATGTTACACAAATATTTTGAAATAGGGCCATGTGCAATATTCCGAAAATTAGAGATTTTACGCGTAATTTTGCCTCAAAGTATTGGCCAGAAAGTAAGCTTAGTTTTAGCACCACTAGTTTTCTTAGGCCATGTTCGTTGATAGCTCTGATTTTTCGAAAATTGCCAAAACTCAAATTTTTGCGGCGTCTTTCCACAACTACAATTAAGAAGATTTTGATATTTCCCTTAATCAAATATCTTTCATAAAGATAGATTTTGAAATAAGGTCATATACAATATTTCGACAATTTGAGTACTTTATGCGTAATTGTGCCTGAAAGTACGTGCTGTTTCGGCAGCACTAGTTTCGTTTGGGAGGCAGCACGCACCTCGCACACGGGCACGCCCTCCAGCGCAGCCGCGTCGATCTGCGTGAGCTGCTCGTTGCGGGCGAGGCGCAGCACGAGGCCCGGGCCGGGCGCGTCGTCGCCCTCCTTGGGCGCGCAGCCGCCCTCGTGCAGCGCCGCCCCGCGCAGCCCCTCCAGCGCGCCGGCGGCCAGCGCGCGCAGCTGCGGCAGCCCGCTCGCCGACAGCTCGTGCAGCAGCGGCAGCGGCGCCTAACGACACACACACACGCGGTGATGGAATCGGTTATTTCAGAAACCCGTTGAACGCGAAAGCCAAAAACACGCGACAGATAATTTCTTCCATGAGGTTAGACACGTGGTATAGTGCATTTTTATATTCAAATATTCTTTTATAAACTTCTTTAATAAAATAATATAATTTGAAATCTCAAAAATTGCGAGATTTAATCTCAGTTTTCTCGGAATGACGAATTTGCCGTTCGTCAGGTTTTTGAAATAAACGATTCAATTGTGACAGATAATTTCTTCCAGGAGGTTAGACACATGGAATAGTGCATATTTATATAACAAAATATTCATTTACCAACTCCTTTAATAAAAAAAATATTTTGAAATGTCAAAAATTGGTAGACTTATTCTCAGTTTTCACGGAATTAGGAATTTGGCGTTTGACAGGTTTCTGAAATAAACGTTTCAATTGAGTCGCTTGCCGTGGAAACGCTTCATGTCTGCTCTCCACGATTTTGCAGCAGAATGAAAAAATACTGATTAATTTTACATCCGATACTACACCACACAAACCATATAGTCAGTTCTCAGATAAAAAAAAATTATTCTAGCCTATGCGTCTGTATATCTTATGGTTAACAATCTCAGTATCTGTAAAAAATGGACAAGAGTGATTTATGCATCAAACCATTCAATTGTTTTTTTTTATGTCTCGAGCCAAAGGAGCGCAGTTGGTCTTGTCATTAATATGTATTTTTCCAATTTGGTTATGTAAGCCAAACTTTACTAACTTGAGAACACAATCGTAATAGTAATTCGAGCAGAGGTGCTCTAGTACTCCGTACCTCCACGATAAACCACATCAATATCTATTATCATCTGACCGCAATAGTCGTATTCGAGAATGAATAGTAAAAACGTTTCAAATGCAGAATGAATTGCCAAATGTTTGAAACGCAAAATATCGTTCGTTGGACTTTTTACATAGTGGATGAAAATAAATTAATATTATTGAAATGTGTAAAAAACCCGAATTCATCATCTTAGAAGTCCACAACAAATTGATTTGTAGATAAAAAAATTGAAGAATAAAAACCAGCCACATTAATTAAAGTTAACATTTAAATAAAACATAAAACTAGAATAATTTTTCACATTTTCTTGAACTACTTCTCTGAGAAGTTCCAGTTGTTCCCTGAAACTGTTATTCCAATACATTTCAGATCATCTAAAAATGATACGAATCTATACACTTCAATAATATTAATTTATTTTACCGAATAACTAACTTAAGATAGATTATTGTATTAAGAGAATTACGAAACGAGCCACTTAAGCTGAGTTAGAGGTTCAATGGAATATTGAAATAAGTTACAACATATATATCGTACGATTTATCCACTTTGTAGTACGTCTAATGAGCCAATTGATTCGTTTTCCTATTACCGGCTGGTGAACCAGTCCTGGAGTATGGGGTATTATCCACTTTGTAATACGTCCAATGAGCCAATTGATTCGTTTTCCCATTACCGGCTAGTGAACCTGACCTGGAGTATGGGGAGGCAATGGAACATTCAAGTAAGTTACAACATAAATATCGTACGTTTTATCTACTTTGTAATACGTCCAATGAGCCAATTGATTCGTTTTCCCATTAATGGCTGGTGATCCTGTCCTGGAGTATGGGGAGGCAATGGAATATTCAAGTAAGTTACAACATAAACATCGTACGTTTCATACACTTTCTAACAAGTCCAATGAGCCAATTGATTCGTTTTCCCATTAATGGCTGGTGAATCTGTCCTGGAGTATGGGGAGGCAATGGAATATTCAAGTAAGTTACAACATAAATATCATACGTTTTATCCACTTTGTAATAAGTCCAATGAACCAATTGATTCGTTTTCTCATTTACGGCTAGTGAATCTGTCCTGGAGTATGGGGAGGGAGATGGGTACGGGAGACAAAGGAATATTGCAGTAAGTTACAACATAAATATCGTAAGTTTCATCCACTTTTTAATAAGTCCAATGAGCCAATTGATTCGTTTTATCATGAACAATTAGTGAACCTGTCCTGGAGTATGGGGAGGCAATGGAATATTCAATTAATATTCCAATGCCAACTTTTTATCCACTTTGTAGTAAGTCCAATGAGCCAATTGATTCGTTTTCCCATTAACGGCTAGTGAACCTGTCCTGGAGTATGGGGAGGCAATGGAATATTCAAGTAAGTTACAACATAATTATCGTACCTTGAGGTGCAGCTGCGCGAGCGGGGCGTTGGCGTCGAGGCGCAGGCGTCGCAGCGCGGGCAGCGCGGGCGCGCCCAGCGTGGGCGGCAGCTCCTTGAGCGCGTTCGCCGACACGTCCAGCACCTCCAGGCTGGGCAGCGTGGGCGGCGGGTCCGGCAGCGACGCCAGAGAGTTGTTCGACACGTTCAGCACCTGCGCAGCCGCAACGCCGTTGCACTCGCATTTCCTCTTTCATGAAGACATTACTGGACGAAGGGACAGATTTGACAGCTGCTACTACGGGCAACAGAATTGTAGGTTGTCCACGTGCGCATTTTGTCGGTTGATTGATTGTTAGTGACTCCGGACGCGTCAACGACTAGGAACATTATTCCCGTAAGTGTAGTGAATGTTTTGCTAGGGTGGTAGCTGTGGTCTTCCCCCGCTGTATGGCGAGATTTGGTGCCGACCTACTGTCGGCTAGCGATGTTTTCCCCAAGTA